TCTGTCTATAGATGTATTGTCCCAAATAGATTTTTAAAGTATTTTCTGAACTTCACAAACATCCATCGACTTTCAAAGGACAAGAAGATATTCTTTGTGGGATAATGAGTTTACTCAATACAAGATGAATGATTTTATTTTCCTTATTTTGAACAAATTGTACTGTTCTAAGCAATTACTGAGGATACCTGTAATAAACCACTGTGAGCTTAAAGCATCACACGTGCGTGTGCGTGTGTGTGTGTGTGTGTGTGTGTGTGTGTGTGAATTTTCTACACAGGCAAAAATAAAGGTTGACTATTTAAAAATGGCTAAATTATTGTGGCCTTCCTTAAGACTGATCCTGATTGTGATAGTCTACTTAATACATAATAATACTAAACATAAAACCTTACCAAGTATTCTGTATGCACTTGAGTTTTACATGCTTATCTGTATTTAGAATGTAYTCTGTCCCCAGTGCTGCAGACTCAAAGAGAAAAAAAAAAATCCAGGCCCTCTTGGAGACATATAAAGCAAGATTCATTTTACAAATGAGGAAACCAAGATTCAGGGAGATCCATTGATTATCCAAGGTCACATACAGCATTGAAAATTCAAATAGAGTATTGAATTATTATTTTTTGTAGCACTAACATGGGTTGCACTTAGTTAAGGAGTGTGACACTTCCTTAAAATGTGAAGACACAGTCATCTCAACCAGGGACATGAGAAGTCTAAGGACAATGTAGGATTCTCCACTAAGATTTTTCCACTCTTATATGTTGCAGTATCTCCATTTTCTATTTGCGATTTTCAGGAAAATGTTTAGAATAAAAACACTGGGGGGTGTGGACTCAGGAAGCAGTAAGCAATGGGAGAAGGGAGCAAGAGAAAATAGACCCCTGGTTCCATACCCCTGTTATCCTCATTCCAAACTGTGAAACTTGCCATGTACCAGACAGAGAGTCTCAGGTACATCGAGGCAGAYATTTCTCTTTCAGTGTAAAATGTTTAAAGAAAAACAAAGTTGTATACTATTCTGAATCCTTATAAAAGAATGATATGACTTAGATGTTTCTCAACAGCAACACTACTAGCATTTTGAACCTAATAGCTCCTTGTTGTGAGGGTCTGASCTGAGCATTGTAGGCTACGAAGCAGCATCCCTAGTCTCCAGCCTCAGGACTTCAGCTGCCCCAATCCCACCCACCCCCTCACATTGTGAGAACCACAGACATCTCCAGATTCTGMCAAGTGTATGCTAGGTGCTAAAAGTGTCTTTTGTTAAGAATAAATAATTTAGGAAAGTCTTGAAAATCCTAAAACYTTTTGGAAAATCTTACCAATGCATAGTTCATTCTTTTAGCAGCAGAAACTAGCAYGAAACTAAATTTGTGGCCTCTTCCTTGTTGGCTCACAAATTCTTAAAACAGGGGTAAATGATAATACAAATAATAGATGAGGTTTGTGTGCCCTCTTGTGGTGTAAATCAGTAACAAGCATTAGATGGGAGCCGGTGGACAAAAACAAAACATTTGCACAGTTAATACAGAAAACTCTCTCCCCCTATGGAAAATGTCGAGTTTTCCATCACAGGGAGAAGGGAACAAAYCTGAAGAGTAACTTCTCCCTGTGTAACACAATATAAAATTAGATAAAAACAATTTTTAAAATTAGTTGGTTACTGCAAACTTTAAAATCAGTAGATTATAGAGAGAACAAGAATACTCTAAGAAATAWGAAAAGAATGTTTAGGAAAGCAACTTTGTGTAATGACAGTAACAGCGAAGTAAGTGGGTAGTAGCAGAAYCTTGAAACATAAAACTAAATCTTTATTTTTATAGGATCCTTATTTTTATTCCAGTCTTTTACAAGTAACTCACCTAACTTCTCTGGGCCTTAGGTTCCTAACATGAAAATCAAATTAAATAAATATTAGATGACACTTTAGACATCATCTAATCCAAATCTTCCTTAGAAAAGGAGAAATGGAGTCCCAGAAAGGTTTAGTAAAATCATGGTTAATAAGAGTCATGCTTATTCTCTAAATTGCCCTCCAACTTAGTCTATTATATAAAGCACATATTTACATGTAAAAGTTAAATGGCGGCTATTTATAAAGAGAAATGAATATATATGGTCAACTATATTTCACAGGTTGGTTTTAGTTGACAGGTGACCRTCAGTGGCTCAGGTGCAATCCCAGCTTTGGGGTTCCCTGGGTAAGTATGGGATGAGGGTCAATGCCATAAGGATCAGCAGGAGAAGGGCTCAGCTCCTCCATGGGARACTCTGAGGCTGGGATTGTCTATCTTCGGGTGGCCTTCTCCTGAGACAAGGGAATACTTGTGTGAATCAGTCATGGGGTACAGGCCACCCTGGGGAAGAGCTGTGACCATGAGCAAAACAAGAGCATTTTCCAGAAAGAATTCAGAGTTTAGTGCTGTCATCTGGCAGCACTCTGAATAGTTGATGCAAATTGGAGGTATAAGAGCTTTGATTCTGAGAGGATGTCTCAWGGTCTATCTAATACAGAAGGCTAGCCCTAGTGGGGTACCCTGGTCTCCCACCCTCAGAAACACTGCTTCCTGAGCCTGTGATGGAGCAGAAGAGGAGCCAACCGGACACCCCTACATGCCTTGGGAGACCAAKCAGACCTTGGTCATCTTAATACTCCCACCATGCTTGATTAATGGAAAAATGCATGGAATTAGACCCGAATTCCAATCCTGACACCACCTTTTATGAAACTGATTGACTTCTTATCTCAGCTTCCTCTGGGACATATTTTCTATACATGTCTTTCCTGCTAWCACTTCCACTTACACCTCCATGTACAATAATTACACTAATTCAACACCTAAAATTTTCTCCCTCTGGTTTCACATTTGCTTCCAATTTAATTATTTTTTGTTCACCTACTATACTGAACTAAAGGAATTGCCAATAGTTGACAATTTTCAGTGGCAAGTTTGGTGCAAAAATATTGATTTGGGTCAGAGGGGAAGGTACCAGGGATTAAACTCAGGGGCACTTGAACACTGAGCCACTCCCCCAGCCCTATTTTGTATTTTACTTAGAGACAGGATCTCACCGAATTGCTTTCACARTCTCAYTGATTGAATTCACAATCCTCCTGYCTTATCCTCCACAGCTGCTGGGATTACAGACATGTGCTATGCACCTGGCAAAAAAAAAATATCAATTTTGCCTATCCAAACACATGTTTCAGTCAACTAAACTCTAGTTTCCTTGAGGGAATAGCCTATGTTTCACTATACCACATTTGACCATGTGTTTCATTTGCATAATATTTACTGTATGCAAATACTTCCATATAGGTTATGCCTCTTAGAGTAGCCTGTGTTATAAGGTTTATAGATGAAACACTGAAACTCATAGACAATAGGTGACTACTCAAGGTCACATAATCCTGAGATAGAATAGGGGAGCCTAAGCCCATGTTTCCAGATACTAAGTCAAGTGCTCTTTCTTCAACAGGGCATAGCTTTTATGTTTGTTTACAGCCTCATGGTTTTGTGAAGTGGTTTATAAATGTCTATAACAACATTTTCCAAATAGACTCAAATAATGATCCGATAACACTTCCAGGACTGGTACTATTATACCCATTTGGTAAATGGACACTCCTTATTTATTCGTTCATCCATCAGACATTTATTGCTACTTCTGTTATATGCAAGGTATCTTCCCAAATTCAAGGAGAAAAAGATAAATATGTCCTAATCCCTTCAACCAAGAAACTCACAGTTTAAATCACATATGTAATCCCACGTCTGTAATCCCAGCTACTCAGGAGGGTAATGCAGGAGGAACACAGGTTCAAGGTCAGCCTGGGAGACTTACCAAGACACTGTCTCATAATAAAAATTAAAAAGGGCTGGGGCTCTAGTTTAGTGGCAGAGAATGCTCCTGTGTTCAAACTTTAGTACTCCAAAAAAATTTTTGAAGAACATCATACTAAGTAAAATAAGTGAACCTCAGAAAGTCAAGCATTGACTGTTTTCTCTCATGTGCAGAAGCTAGATAGAGAAAGAGAACATAAAGGAATCTCACAAAAATACAAAAGAGATCAGTAGAGGAAGGGAATTGAAAGAGGGAAGAGGAAAGAAAGGACATGGGTAAATGCTGGGGAACRAAATCTACCAAATTACGCTATCTGTGTATGAATATACCATAATGAATCTCATTTACATACATAACTATAATGCACTAATTGGAGTAATAAAATAATTATAATAGAAGGAAGATCAGTATAGCAAGTGGATCAGGAAAAAAGAGGGAGAAAGGGAGGGAAAGGGAAGGTATTGGGAAATGATATCGATCAAATTATTATTATGTGAACATAAAAATAAGGTATAATAAATCCCACTTTTTATTTTTTCATATTTTTAGTGTTGCACTATAATTATACACAATGGTGGTATTATATATAATTATAATATACCCATTAAAAATATTTTTTAAATAAGATTACAATCCAGTGTAGGAGATAAATACCTCATGGACTAGTTAACCATTACAGTGTAATGTATGCAAGATAAATGCTAATGCAACTTGGCAAACAATAAAACTGAGGTGTAGAAAGAAACTGTGTAAATAACAAGAAGAAATATTAATTTTTTCTGGAATATTGGGAAAGTCTTTCTAGAGGGTGTAATATTTATATTACAAAAAGCTTTGGAAAGCTTTTCTTGGGTACAAAATCTCACACACACACACACACAAAAAAAAAAACATCTTTAGGGAGAGAATAAAAATCACATTGGTATTATAGTTTGTAGTTTTCTAAGAAAAAATTCAAATTGTGCATAACTTGTCAAAGTCTTGTGGCTGGTAAGTAGCCAAGTTGGCTTTGGAACCAGCCTTTTGCATCCCAGTTGATGCTCTCCTCTTGTAACGTTTTATGTAAAGGTTGATTTAATAAATGCTGTGTACTATGATACAACACGTTCTTTGTACTCCCCTCATGAAGACTGTCCTCTGTTCTTTTTCAGTATTCCAAGATGTGCATGTAATGATATTTGTTGGGTTTGGCTTCCTCATGACCTTTCTGAAAAAATATGGCTTCAGCGGTGTGGGTATCAACCTATTTGTTGCTGCTCTGGGCCTCCAATGGGGCATTATTACACAAGGGATCCTGCACAGCCATGGAGAGAAAATTCAGATTGGAATCAAAAAGTGAGTATCTTGGCTATGGTCTGAATGTTTTTGCCTCCTCCCCCCCAAATTCATCTGATGAAATCTTAACCCCTAAAGTGACAGTAGGAGGTGGGCTCTGTGGGAGGTGATTGGTTCAGGAGGGTAGAATTTCCATAAAGGTAGATGCCTTTAAAAAAGAAGCCCAGGGGCTGGGATTGTGGCTCAGTGGTAGAGCGCTCGCCTAGCACAGGCGGGACCCRGGTTTGATCCTCAGCACCACATAAAAATAAGGGCATTGTGTTGTGTCCATCTACACCTAAAAGTATAATAAATATATTTTAAAAAAAAAAAAAGAAGCCCAAGAGAAAATCTTCTCCCTTTCCATAATGTGAGGACACAGCTGGAAGTAACATCTATGAACCAGAAAGCAAGCCCTCACCAGACACTGAATCTGTCAGCATCTTGATCTTGTTCTTCTAAGCCTCCRGAATTATGAGAAATAAATTTCTGTTACTTTATAAGTTACCCAATTTATGGTATTTCATTCTAGCAACCAAAGAATAGTAAGACAATCCTTTATTTTTCAACCACTGTGTTTTCAGATCAGTTGTTTCTCTGTTTGGTTCATTGTCACTCTGGCTCTAAATTATCTGGCAAATTGTCTCTTTAGGCAACAGAAGAGTATTGAAATCTGAGGGTCCAAATCAGTKTCTTGCTCTACTGAGCTGAGTCATCCAGTCAGGTCTATAACATCTCTRGTTTAAAATGAGAAATCCCCATTCATAAAATAATTGTTCCTTTCATCTCAGCTATGAGTAACAAAAATMTGTCATTAGATTTTTTTTGAAGATTTTTTTAGATGGAATTATGTATTCTTGTTTTGAGACTCTCAATAATTGCTCTAGGAAATAATACTGTTTTCAGATCAACAAAACTAAAGTACTCTAAATGAGATAAAGGAAAAAGTGAGTYAAAACAAAGAAAAGTGAGGGCAACTGAAGACCACATGGGCGAAAGGAGGTGGGGGAGGAAGTGGCAGTAAGAGTGGTCCTGGGAGGAATGCAGGAAGAATGAAGAGGGGCTTGTGCCTGGCAAGGGTGGTGCTGTAGCTCCACCTTAGGACTCACATACATTTTGTATGGACTACTTTTCAATTGATTCTTTCTTTTCCTCAGCATAATAAATGCAGACTTCAGTACAGCCACTGTTCTGATTTCTTTTGGAGCTGTCCTAGGAAAAACAAGTCCTATCCAAATGCTCATCATGACAATTTTAGAAATTGCTGCCTTTGCTGGCAATGAATATCTGGTTGGTGAGATATTTCAGGTAAGGATTAAAGTGTTTATACTTGGCTAGCTCTAGCCAAGAGCTCTGACCTCTGCAAGTAYTGGGTAGCCTCTCTATTGCTGGGGCAAACCTCAATGACAGGTGATAGCACAGCAGTGATGATAGCCATGGCTTACTGAGTGATGTTGTAAACGAGGGTTTCTATACACCATCTCACCCCATCCTCACAACAGTGTAAGGCAATATAGCTGTTGTGACCATTTACACACAATAAAACTGATGACCAAGCCAGGCACAGGGGCACATGCCTGTAATCCCAGGAGCTCAGGAGGCTGAGGAAGGAGGATCACAAGTTCAAAGCCTCTGCAAAAGCAAGGCACTAAACTYKCTTAGTGAKACCCTGTCTAAATAAAATACAAAATAGGCCTGGGATGTGGCTCAGTGGCCAAGCGCTCCTGAGTTCAATCTCTAGTACCCAAAAATAAAATAAAATGATGACCACAGATGCTAAATGATTGAAACTCACCTTTCTGGGATTGAAACTCACTGTTTTCTAACTCCGTGACTCATTTTTATTACACTTTGTTGCTTATCAAATGATTAACTCCTATTCATATTTCAAAATAGCCTATAAAAAGCCTTATACAAGCTATTGTTAAGGTCTTGATCAAATTTCTTACTCTCCATGAAAATTTCATTGATTTCCTCAAGGTTTAGAAACAGATTATTTTCTTATTTTGTTTGTACATCTATTGAACATTTCATGCAATTTTAAATATTTGAATTTCCCAGGTATTGGTGATTCACTGGGAAACAAAATAGTTGAGGCTCCTGTCTTAATAGAACTTAAAATCTAGTGAAGGARACAAAAATCAAACAAATAATTACACATCCATCCCACCTGCCACAGGCACAAGAAATAAGGAGTAGGGTGAGGGGACATAAGAAAGTACTTAATTTAGATTGTAGAGTCAAGGAGGGGCTTCTCTGAGGAAGTGACAGTTAAGCTGGACCTGAAGGGGAGGTGAGAGTTTCTCAAGTAACTAGTAGGGAGAAATGTASTATAAGCCAAGGTAACAGTAAGTACAGAGCCTCAAACTGGTATTGAGGAACMGAAGGGAAACCTCTAGTTAAAGCAAAGGACTCAGTGGCGCACACCTATTATCCCAGTGGCTCAGGAGGCTAAGACAGAAGGATCTCGATTTCAAAGCCAGCCTCAGCAATGGTGAAGCACTAAGCAACTTAGTGAGATCCTGTCTCTAAATAAAATACAAAATAGGGCTGGGGATGGGGCTCAGTGGTTGAGTRCCCCTGAGTTCAATCCCCGGTACCCTAAAAAATAAAAATAAAGCAAGGGGAAAGGTTTGGCTGGTACAAATGAAGCCTCCAAGTTAAGAAAATCAGATTAATCAAAGACCCTGCAGACATTTGGTGGCTCCAGCAGGAGAAACAGAACAGTTTCTTTTGCCAAAAGTAACGTGGGCTTTTAAAGAGAGACACAGACTCATGTGATATTTGTAGAGTCCAAGTAGGATTAATTGCTGCCTCCTACTCTCCTGAAACCACCAGGTGAAGCTTAGCAAGGTTTCCCAACTGGGAGGGGACCCAGTGTTGTCTGGAGGCTGGAGGTTGACAGAAGGGTCAGAGGTGCTATGAGGACACTTGGAATCATTCCAGCCACGTATGGCTCTTCAGAGGAACAAGATCCATCCATGTCCAGCAAAGATGGACACATCCAGAATAATCTTTTTACTTCCCCTCAACCCAATTTGAAAATCTTTAATTTGTATTTTTCTCCTGACTRAATAAATGCTGGAGCAACCAAGTCGTCGGCGTGGCACTCTGCTTTGCTCTAGAGGCAGGAAATGCAGAAAACTGGGTTATACTGATGTCATGTCTCAAGAGGAAACTAAAACATGTTCTTTCAAGTCAGTCTGTCTCTCTGCCCCTACTATTTGTTTATTATGTAACTAGTGTAACAGTCCTTTCATTGACATTCCTCCTGTAGTGAGTTTGGTCTCACCTCTATTTATGTGCATGCCATTTTTCCCCCTTAGGCCACTGATATTGGGGCATCAATGACCATCCACGCCTTTGGGGCCTACTTTGGCTTGGCTGTAGCAGGCATCTTATATCGATCTGGCCTGAGAAAGGGGCATAGGAATGAAGAGTCTACRTACAACTCGGACTTGTTTGCAATGATTGGTGAGTGGGGATGAACTTGGCTGATTTTTTGTCTCTTTGGTCAGGCATGCAGGAAAGTTATTTCAATATGGTTGCGAAGATGCTTAAAAAGGAACCTCCTTTGAAGACCACTCTGTTTATGCTGCCTCAATGYTCCTCCTTTCTCTTAAATCTAGATAACTAAGCCTAAAATTAGAAACAATGTCAGTGACCTCAGCAAACTGCCTCCTTTGCATGGTCTTCCCCATTCAGAACTAATAGTCCTTCGTATGATTTGCAGGGACTATTTTTCTATGGATATTTTGGCCCAGCTTTAATTCAGCCATTGCAGAACCTGGAGAGGAACAGAATAGGGCCATCGTCAACACTTACTTCTCTCTTGCTGCCTGTGTGCTCACAGCCTTTGCCTTCTCCAGCCTTGTCACACATGGAGGCAAGCTCAATATGGTGAGTGCCCTGTCAACCCCAGTGCAAATTTCATTTAGTGAAGCTCGCAGTTGCTCCAATAAGTCAGGCATTCCTGCCTTACTGCTGAGCTACCAGGACAAACCACAAAACCACASACCTTGGAGAATGTTTTGAAGAAAAGTAATAACATTTATTCATTCACTCATCAAATGTGTACTCTGACAAATTAARTATTCTCAAGAGATGTGCAGTCTATAGGAAAAGTACTTGTGTAAAAATCAAAGCTTTAAGGTATACTTCTTTCATAATAGACCTAACTGTTCCCAAGTTCTTAAAAAAAAAAAAACTTCTTTAAATACAAGACCTGTCAAAGAATAGGAAAAAAGAATAAGATGGCATATGTCAATTTGATTTTCCTGACTGTAAATATTCCTCTCAAAGAAATAACTACTAAATGCATTGCAGGATCCTGAATAGGATTCTGAAAAAKAAAAAGAACCTTAGTCAGAATAATAGTGAAAATCAAATAGGATCTTTATTTATTAACTCAGTGCTAATTTTATTTTTCTATAGTTATGTAAGATGTTAACACAAGGGAAGATGAGTGAGGTATGTAAGGAAAATGCCTACAGTATTTTTGCAACTTTAACGTGTCTAAAACTAGTTCAGAAGAATATACTGTTGGATGTGGCTCAAGTGGTAACATGCTTGCCTGGCATGCTTGGGGCGCTGGGTTCGATCCTCAGCACCACATAAAATAAAGATGTTGTGTCAGCTGAAAACTGAAAAACAAATATTTTTTAAAAAATTCTCTCTCTCTCCCTCTCTCTCTCTTCTCTCTCCCTCTTTAAAAAAAAATACTGTTTAAAATGCACCCTATCTGGTATTTTGAGCTTTTTGCTAGTGAAGCTAAAGAAAAAGTAGCGTAACACGGAACATGATGGCAGGTGGGTTCTTTGTCTTACGCATTTGAAGAATAAAATCCACAGACACAAGGATTAAAGCAAAGTAATAGGATTTGTTAGAGTAATAGAAAGCAGAGCCCTCCAAAACAGGAGGAATCCCAAGAGAGATGATAATGGGCATCCACTGTCTAGGAGTTTTTGTGGGCTTCATCTGTCCCTATGGTTGGTGGGATAGAGAACTCAGAAAGGATCAACTCTCTCTATTTTGTCTTCCTCAACAAATCTGAGGAGTGTAGTTTTTCAAGCCTTTATTAACATAAGGATGGGGGTGAGGTTTTGTTGGCAAAAGAGGTAGTGCTTTAGAGATTGTGTAGCTGGCCATTGCTAGGGTTGGGAGTAGGTGTAACTAAGGAAGAGCTGTTGCAATTGAAGTTGTCAGCAGCAGTGACAGGGTGTTCCCAGACCCAATGTCTCTTTCGGGATGTCAAGGCCTCATTCCCTCTTTCCCTTCTCCAAGGCCCTTATCCTATCTGCCTATGGATGGTCTACCTTCCTTCCTCATTAGCCTGGGGAGGAAAAGGGTATTAGAATTTATTCCTTAAAGCATGAATTAAGTCATGTAATTCAATTCTTTACAAACCCTAAGCAATTAGAAACCATGAGAAGAAAAAACATCATACATTTACAGCTCACTGTAAAACATACAGATCATCCTGGGGATTTAGATCAGTGACAGAGCGCCCTCGTGTGCACAAATCCTAGCATTCAATCCCCTGTACCACCAAAACAAACAAACAAAAAGTACCCCCAACTTGAGAGGCTGAGGCAGCAGTATCACAAGTTCAAGGACATCCTCAGCAACTAAGAGAAATCCTAAGCAACTTAGTTGAGCCCTGTCTCAAAATTGTAAAATAAATTAATAAAAATGCCTGGGGATGTGGTTCTGTGGTTAGGCATTCCTAAATCAATTCCCAGTACCAAATAAATAAATAAATAAATGTGMGGATAATCTCTTTTCCTCAGGCAAATGACTAGATTGTGGTTTAGGAGGAATCCTAATAAGGAGAAACTGATTTCCCTCTCTGAATCCCCAAATGTTCTCAGTACAGTGTTACTTGCAAATGCTGTTGTCTTTCCAATGTAATGTGTATATTTCCATGTTTCTACAATGGATATTGAATGAATATTGGCACATTGCAGCCATAGTACTCTTTTCGATTGAGATAAACACAGATGTTTTCCAAAATCTGCATAMATAGGCTAAACACTGCTAGAATATTTGCTTTAAACTCTCTGTACCCTGTCTCCCTCTACAAATTATTTTGGTTTTCTCACATCCCTCCCACCTCTGGTCCCCTCTGCTACCAAAGGACCCTGGAAAGATCAAATRTAGAAGACTTGAGAAAAAGTCTGTAGTTACCTCTTTTATTTTTAACATGAATCATGTTATTTTTGTGGTTTCTGTTTTAATCTTTTACACACATGATTCTCTCAATTAATATTTATATACATATGTATATGTATATATATACACACACATACACATGCATATATATGTATGTATGTATCAGTATCCCTTGCAGCTGAAGACTGTGTCTGTGAGCACTGAACTCCACATTTCTGTAGTCTTTCTGAACCCTCCCTCATTCCGCTCACTCAATCATGATTCTCCAAACAGGTGCACATTCAGAATGCTACCCTCGCAGGAGGAGTTGCTGTGGGCACTTGTGCAGACATGGATATTAGCCCATATGTGGCTATGATCATTGGAAGCATTGCAGGAGTTGTCTCCGTGCTTGGATACAAGTTCCTGACTGTAAGTATGGCAGATATTCTAAGCCAAATCTGGAATCTGTGTTGTTATCTTCTCTTATCCCATCAGCAGAGAAAAGGCACAAAGTTTCCTTTCATAAGTACCTTTCCTTGCCTGGAGGATGTTTGCCATCCTTTCAGAAATACCACCCACATTCCAGGTGTCCAGTGGTTCTACTCTTTCCTGACCTCTCTGTGGAAGCTGGAGAAAGTCTGACATCAGTTACTTATAATTTAGTATGAATTTAATGTCAGGTGCTTGTGTGTGACTTTCCTCCACAGAATTTCCACTGTGTTATTGTTGTTGTTGTTGTTGATGATGATGATTTTGTATAACTAAGGATTCTAGACTCTTTTAGGGTATCATCAGAAAGTGAGAAGGAATAGGATCTAAAATCACTCCCATCCCAACCCATCCACGGAAATGGTGGTTTTGCCACCAATATCCTCAAATTATTTGACATTGGTAGATTTCAGATATGGATAGAGAACCAAATTATAGAGAAGATTTCTTTTTCTGAGGCAAGGGAGGAAATGAGAAAGATATAGATCAGAGAATACAAAGTAGCAGATATGTAGGAAAAAGAACTTTAGAAATCTAATGTACAGCATGAGTGAAACAGAATTTAAAATATACTGTATGCAAAATTCGTGGTAAATGAGTGGTTTTTAGTTCTCATGCCACAAAAAAAAAAAAGGGGGATAACTATGGAGATGTTAATTCACTTCACAATAGTAACTTTTTTACTRTTCATATGTATTCCATAACATATGAACAGTAAAAGATACACAATAAAAATTAATTTATAAAATCTTTATTCTGCATGGTTATTTCATATGTAACATATCTAGCAAAATAATAAGCCTTTCTCCTTTTATAATCATAGCCTTGTTTTGCTGCTAAATTGAGGATCCATGATACCTGCGGGGTGCACAACCTGCATGGCTTACCTGGCGTGATAGGAGGCCTMGCAAGCATTGTGGCCATAGTCATGGGAAAATCTAAAAAGTGAGTCAAAGAATGGCTTGTTCTCTTCCTGGTACTATCTTGTTTTCTCTCCTTCTTTGAGATATCCTTTAATGGAAGAATAAGGTTGTTTGGGGATTTTGTTTGGGTTGGGTTTGGTTGGTTGGTTGGTTGGTTTTTGTTTTTCTAGCATTTCAGGCCCAGATCTGTATTGTTTCTACCGAGTTCSAAGAGACACAAATGAGAGAACAGAATTGTATTGAAAGATGCAACYTAACAAATTATTAATGCCCTTTTTTAAAAATTAATGATGTTCATTTAAATTTCTCTACCATAGACAACTGTCACCAGACAGATTAGGCAATATGATAAGCACAATTGGATMGCAGTAGGCTTACTCTTTTTGGGGGGACCCACCAAAATGGAGGAGAGGCACATGTGGTGAGTTGAAGCAGTCACTTCCAGGAAATTTACACAACCAAGGATGAGTTAGCCTAATGTTGGATCTAGCAAATMTGGAAGGCAGTGTGTGGCCCCAAGACGGCTACCAACAAGTTATGTGACTTTTAACATGTTGCTCAACCTCTCTGGTTCCCCATTTCCTCCTCTATAAAATAAGAAGACGGGACTATTTCATCTCTAAAATCTCTTCTAGCTCTAACAGACTTAGATTCACCCAAAGGGGGCATAAATGTTTATTTAAATGGCCAGAGGGAAAATAGCAGTCAAGCCCAGAATRGAAGTGATACTAAAGGCTATCATTRCCACTTTTARGCAACAAGACTGGAATAATTTGATATGATCACTCAGAAAGTAAGTAAAGAAGCAGAATTCTCAGTTTTAAAAGCCAGTTTTGCCAGGTACAGTAGCCCATGCCTGTAATCCCAGTGGCTCAGGAAGCTGAGGCAGGAGAGTCAAATTCAAGTCCAGTCTCAGCAACTTAGAATGACCCTAAGCAACTCAATGAGACTTTGTCTCTATAGAAAATATAAAAAA